CCAACGACTGAGCCACCCAGGCGTCCCTGCAACACACTTTTTTAACCTAACCTTATATCTTTCCATGTCAGTACACGTGGATCTACCACATTTTTTAAAACTGCTACACAATATTGCATTTATGGATGTACCATAATTTAACCAATCATACAGATGAACATATTTTTTCAAAATTTTTGCTAGTAAAACAATTCTACAAACATTATCCTTTTTTTTTTAAAATTCTATTTATTTATTTAACTGACAGAGAGAGACAGCGAGAGAGAGGACACAAGCAGCGGGAGTGGGAGAGGGAGAAGCAGGCTTCCCGCCGAACAGGGAGCCTGATGCGGGACTCGGTCATGACCTGAGCTGAGGGCAGTCACTTAACCAACTGAGCCACCCAGGCGCCCCTACAAACATTATCCTTAAACATGATGTTTTTCTGCACTTTCCATATTTGTAGACTAAATTTCTCCCTGTTGAATGGCTAAGTAAATTATTTCCAAATTGCCCTCCAAAAATTGTATTTTTTACTTCCCTTAATACTAATGTATTTGTTTGTAAATAATCCTATTTCCAATCTTTTTCATCTTTGCTAGTAAAATGAGCAAAAAAAAAAAAAAAAGTCCCCACTGTTTTAATTTGCACTTTGACATTAGTAAGATGGCTATCTTTCATTGTGTGTATCGGCCACTTGTATTTCTTCTGATTTTCTTGCTCATGTACTATGTTCATTTTTCTATTGGCTTTAATATTTTTCTACCTAATCATTAAATACTTTCATAAATGTACTTGTCTTTAGACTTAGCTTCTAGTACCTTTTTGGGTTTGGCTTGGTGGAATTTTGTAGGACATACAGAAGGTTTTAAATTTTACAGAGTCGAAAGTATTCATCTTTTCCTTTCTGGCTTCTGGACTGCATGACATATTTACAAGAGTTTTTGCTGTGCCAAGATTACAAATACATACAACAATGCTTTCTTCCAGTACTTTGTTATGTTGGTTTTTAAGATTTAAATTCTGGCCTATTTGGAACTTATTTTAGTGATCAAAATAAGGCTCATTATTATTATTATTTTTTACTAGAAAGCTGCCGGACACCAAAACACCTTTTCTTCTTTTTTCAAAGACTTTATTTACTTATTTGACAGAGAGAGAGACAGCACAAGCAGGGGGAGCAGCAGGCAGAGGGAGAGGGAGAAGCAAGGCTCCCCGAGGAGGAGGGAGCCTGCCACAGGGGGCTCAACCCCAGGATCCCAGGATCATGACCTGAGCAAAAGGCAGACACTTAACCGACTGAGCCACCCAGGCGCCCCAAACTACCCTTTCAATGCTGATTTGAAAGACCACCTTGATGGGGCACCTGGGTGGCTCAGTTGTTCAGCGTCTGCCTTCAGCTCAGGTCATGATCCCAGGGTCCCGGGATCGAGCCCCGCATCGGGCTCCCTGTTCCTCCCTCTCCCACTCCCACTGCTTGTGTTCCCACTCTCGCTCTGCCAAATAAATAAATAAAATCTTAAAAAAAAAAAAACAAAAACCTTGACTACATAATAAATTCCCATAGGTATCTGTATTTGGATCTATTCTGAATTCCATTACATTCTTTTTTTTTTTTTTAAAGATTTTTATTTATTT